GCCTGTGCCCTCCCGGGGCTGCCCGTGCCGGCTCGAGCGGGAGATCTGGATCTGCCCCGGGAGAGCCCAGACCCGCCACGGGCCCTGGGCACCGACCGGGGGTGCGAGTGCGCCCACAGAGAAGGGCATCCAGAAGACGCCTCGTCTCACGTCCCCACGCGCCCAGTGCAGCGGACAGCGGGTCGCTCTGCAACGCGGGGCTGGCGGGACACAAGCCTACCCAGACCAGCCCGTTCCAGCCCTGGCAGCTACCGGAGCCGGGGGTTCCTCAACCAGGCCGACAGGAGCAGCACCGGCCTTCCTGCGAAGTCCGTATCGCGGGGGCTGCAGCCCCAGGCCAGCACGCAGCAGCCTGACAGAGAAGCTGTCTGGAAAGCAGCAACACAAGGAAAATCCATCAACCCAGTTTCAGGTTTCAGGAGAGAGACTTCCACCGAGGAGAAAAGGTGAGAAGTGAATTGCGGCTCATCTCGGCTTCGGTCATTTGTAAAAAACAATACACTCTTGTCCCCTGGATGCACAGGACCGTGTCAAGAGCAATGCAAAAGCTGGGTCAAGAGCAAAAAGCAAAAGCAGCAGAACCCAAACTGACCTGAATCCTCCGCACCTCAGAAGAGGTCTGGGCAGTCCCGGGTAGGAGCGGGTCCTACAGCTCCTTACAGAGAAAACGAAGTCACTCGGATATCATGATAGAGATCACGAAGCATTAGCAATCACACAGGAAACAGTCACCTTGGTAACTGAGATGCTGAGAACAACCCAGAAAATCTGGCACAGGGCAGGTTAAACTGGGTTAGTTTTGCAGGGCAGACACCCAGCTGCAGCGTCTCCCAGGCCCCAAGAGCCGCTGTCGGGGACCACCCGCTGTGGGGGCTGTGGTACCCCAGGTCCACCCTCTGGGGCCACGGTCCCGCGGGGCAGCCTGAGGGGGCCCCAGCACCCCATTGATGCGCAACACTCACCCCCACGCCACCACAGCCCGAGTCAGCAGTCGTCCCCGGTGGCCAGTGAGCTCAGGCCAGCCCCGCAGCCCCTGGATGCGCAGCTGAGCCAGGAGTGCCCCGCGGAGATATATGGGGGATACATGCGCTGGGGGCAGGTCCTGAGCCAGACACTGGCCCGGTGGTGGGAGGGAGGGCGGTAGAGGCTGGCTGCCTCCCCCTGCTCCCGCCCGCGCGCCTTATCTTCAGATGCCTCATTTAGGCGCTGGCGGCCGTGCCCGGGCAGGTGACAAGCCGTTGCACCTGGCCCCCGTGACATGTCACGCTGGGGAGAGGAGCTGACAAAGGGCCCTTGTCACCATGGCTTATCTCGGTGCCGCAGGGCAGGCAGGCAGGAAACACCTCTCTCTTACATAAAAGTACTGGCTTTGGACCCGCACGCTGACCCTGCGCCCCTGCCAAAGACAACGCCTGTAACCAGGAGCACCTGGCTGCGGGATGAAGCCACGGATGTGAACAGGATCTGCTTTCCCAGCAGCCCCCCGGGGCCAGGGGACAATTGCAGACGGAGCGGAGAGCAGGGCTGCCAAGCTGGATCTGAATGGCTGCTGTTCCCCCCACACCTTACAGGGCTGCTCGGCATCCCTCTCCTCGGCGGCTGCCTGCGGGGCAGCGAGAGGGTGAAGCAGCTACCGCAGCTGTGTCTGCCAGGACCATGAACCCTCCTCTTGGACATTTAACTGACTTGGGGGCCACTGCTTGGATGCCTCGGCGCACTCCAGGAGATGGCCAGGAGCGGGCTGCTCCGCACAGCGACTCCCAGCACACCGTCGCACCGGCAGTGCGCTACCACAAGCCAGCCAGCAGCTCCCCGCAAGGTCTGCCCTGCCAGGCGATGTCCCGCGGCATCCCCTGGAGCCCACACTGTAGGCGCAGGGGCCAAGCTGCTCACTGGGGCCAGGGGGAGAGCCCCCCGTGCTCCTCCACACCAAGCACGCTACGT